CCTGGAGGAACTTGGCCCAGTGAGTAGCATGGCCCTAATGAGGGGCTGACAACTCCACTGAGGGCAACTCAAGGGCAGGGGCCAAGTCTTCACTGTGACCTGATTCCGAGCAAGGCTTTGGGACCCATCGAACCAGGGTTTGAATCTTGATCGGAGGCTCTGACTAGGTGCGAATCTTGTCCCAGTTACTTAACCATTGTGAAACGGTGATAGTTGGGCCTACTTTACGGGCACGTTGTGGGGATTAAATGAGAAGATGTGTCGGGTCAGCACAGCCACAACAGCACGATGGTAATGCAGGAGAAAGGGTCTGAGGTCATCGGAAATGATGATGCTGATGTTGATGCCCAGAGCCTTTTGCAAAGACTTGTACCCAGGAAGTTGCAGGGGAGTTAATGCATTCTCTCATTAATGAATTCATTTTTATTTGCCAGAGGGCACATGTGCTTGCCAAGAAAGAGAGACAGGCAGAGAGAGGGAGAAAGCACTTCCCGATGGGGCATGGGCAGGCCACGGTCCTTTCTGCTCCATTTCTCCATCCTGTTGGGGTTTGGGGCGTGAGTGCACATGTGTCCGGTATGCTTTTCAAGTCTCCAGGGCTTGACTCAAACTGTGGTTGGCCCCTGAACCACTAGGCTATAGGGCTGGCCTCTCTCATTAATTTGTTCATTTAACTACCACCTGTCACTAAACACAGTGAGGAAAAGTGAGAAAGCACCCCTAGGAGGGATGGTCACACTGCAATCCCTTCTGCTCCATTTCTCCTCCTAGGATTTTGGGTCTGCACACACATTTTTTTTTTTTTTGGAGAGATTTTCACTGTAGCGCGCGTGCGCTCGCCAGACAGACAGAGAGAGACATCAGAAAGCGAGAAATCACCCCCCAGGGGGGATGGTCACGCCGCAATCCCTTCTCCTCCATTCTCCTCTCGGGATCTTGGGCACGCACGCACACGCACCCGGCGTGAGTTTTAAGCCACCGGGTCCACGAACCGCGGTCAACTACGTGGGAGTCCAGCGACATAGCCATTACGCTAACTGCTGGTTCCCTGCACACACATTTTTCAAGCCACCAGGCCTGGGAGTTGAAATGCACAGCCAGCCATGTGGGATCTAGCTGTCTTAACCACCAGGTCAGCAGCTGGCCCCCATCTGTCCCTCTATTCATCAATGCCATCCACACTCCAGTACTTCTTAAGTTCCAAGTTGGCCCCAGGTTTGGGAATAGAGACTAACAAGACATGGCGGCTCCCCTTTCTAGCTAATTTCCAAGGAAGTGCACTTTGAGTACATCCATCCAACACGCAGAACAATTCAATTCACTTGACCCAACTATGCCCTAGAGAGGGGACAGCAGATGATGGCTGACTTCCCACCAGCCTTTGGGTAAGTTTCACTTTGGAAACCTGAAGGGAGGAGGTTCGCCTTAGTGGTTATAGCCAGCTCTGGCCTCAGGCTCCCCCACTCTAACACTTACCCCACCCTCTCCACCAGCCCCAACCTTCACCTGGGCCAAGGTCTGCAGCCTCTGTCTCTCCGCCTCATCTGTGGCCAGCTGGGCCAGCTTCTGGAGCATCAGCTGGGTTGGGGGCGTGGTGATGTCCAGGAAGTAGGTGAGGGCCTGGCTGAGTGAGCAGGGGGGCAGCCTCTTGTCCTTGACCCAGTAGCTGCCTAGATAGGGAAGGAAGATGTCAGGATGGGATGAAGGCCCTTTTTGGCCTTCTCAGAGCCCCTCAGTGTGGTGGGGTGGAGGATGCTGGGCCCCTCAGCTCCCACTCAGGGGCTCACCGCTTTCGTCGAGGGTCTCCAGGCGCACAGGCTGCTGGGGTGCAGGACCGTCCACCACTCGTTCCAGGATGCCTTGCACCAGGGCCAGCTGGTTGCATGGGCACACCCCGAGGTGATCTCCGGGTAGGTAGTTCAGTCTGGAGCTGCCCTCATAGGTGAGTTCCACCAGGAGGGTGGTGCGGCTGGAAAAGGGGCAAAGGAGCCTCTGGTGCTGCTGCTGGGATTTCCGCCAGAGCTCCCTGGTATGCGTGCCGGCTTCCCCAGGAAACATGCCCTCATTTCATGCTCCTGCCCTGTTCCGCCAGCTGGGCCTCTGGCTTGAGCTTGGGACCAGGCATACCCTCAGGCAGGTGCTCAAGGGGGCCCAGGGCAGACCAGACCAGGTCCTGCAGATCCCCCTTGGGGAGCAGGTGGGTCACACCCCTGTAGGCAGCCCTTGGAATCCCCAGGTTTGGCCACAGACTCAGCCTAAAGAAAGTACCCTGTCCAGAGATGCCCAAGCATTGGAAGTGACCTTTGCGTATCCCCAGCACAAAGGCCAGTTTTCCCAATGAATGCGGGGAAGACAGTGCAGGAGAACCAAACCTACAGATAACCCACGATGCTCATTTACCCTGCTCGGAAACTTCCTTCCTTGCCATGACTTTTCAAAAGATTCTTTTTTAAAGTTTATTTATTTATTTTTTCTGTGAGTGAAAAAGACAGAGAGAGAGCACCTTCAACAGGCCCTTGACACTCAACCCATCCCCTGCTTCAGAAAGCCCCAGGTCACAGGCACACGTGTGCCTCACAAAATGTGAGTTTATGTATTTTTATATGTTTTTTTCCTTTAGCAGAGTCTCACTATGTTGCCCAGGTCACCCTCAAGGTTGAGAGCCTTCTGCCTGAGTCTCCTGAGTTGCTGAGATTGCAGGCACCTGCCACCATGCCTGGCGTTCTTTAGGTTGGACCAAGGATGGGACCTGGGCCTCCCATGTGGTTCCAGTCTGTGGAACGGCATCTTAGCACTATGCACCACTGCAGCTGGGCTATGAAGAGTCAAGGGACCAGCAGATGGTGTAATGATTACGTCTTTGGATTCCCACATGGCCAACCAGGGTTCAAGGCCCAGACCCAAAGGCTTAAAATTCACATCGGGGGACCAGCAGTTGGAGTAATGGCTATGTCGCTGGACTCCCATGTAGTCGACTGTGGTTCGAGTCCTGGGCCCGGTGGCTTAAATTCACACTAGGCACATGTGCATGCATGCCCAATATCCTGAGAGGAGAATGGAGGAGAAGGAATTGCGGTGTGGCCATCCCCCGTTGGGGTGTGTGTGTGATTTCTCACTTTCTGTCTCTCTGTCTCTCTCTGTCTTTTTGGCAAGCACATACGTCCTATAGCGAAAACCTCTCCAAAAAAACTCTGTCTCTCTGGTGAGTGCATATGCCCTATAGGAAAAAATCTTCCTCTTGAAAAAAAAAAAAAAAGAATCAAATGGCTCACCCTTGTGATAAAGAACTTGGGGGGGGGGACTGGCTCGTGGGCACTGAGCTTAGATATAAAGCACAGGTGGCCCCAACCCAACGACAGTGCTGCTAACTCCAGCAGGCACCCCTCTACCCTCCCTTCAAAGACTGACCTGCTCTGCTCTTTCATTTATGAAAACAAAATCTCGTGGCCACCCCCCGAGGAGACCTGCACTCCACCTTACCTGGATTTTGGGGTATGCAGGTTCTGCTGAGATTTGAGCCTCATGGTGAACACGGACTTAGCATGCATGCTGCTGAGGGCTGCAGGGGCAGAGGGACAGTGAAATGACACAGGAACTCTTGAGCATTGGCAGGGTCACCTCATACATCTGGACGTTACCTTTGGAGCACCCCACTGAGGAGGCTACTAGGGGTTTCTCTCCTTTCTATTTTCCCAGTTTCTGAGTCACAGACAAAAGCCCCAGCCTGACAAAGGGTGGTTATGCAGTGCCAGATGTCAGGAAATTGCATGCAGGTGCCAAAATACGGGAAGCCCCGCACAACTACCTGGCTTGGAACCAGCACATAGTCCAATGGGAATGCCTTAAACACACGGAAACCTGCAGGGCTGCTGCTGGTTCAAGGCCTAGCCTCTAGAGGGCACACAGGTAAGAGATTGCCATCTGCAGCCTGGAATCGCCTCAGTGGAACCTTCGTAATGACACAGGGCTGCCTTCAGGGCAGGAAGGCTGGCACTCCTGGCATGTGCTAGCAACGTGCTTCATCCCTCTCCCCCACCAACTTTAGTTTCCCCATGTGGGCCTTTCTCACGGGATGAGTGCCAGGTCTCACTCCACCCATGTGGGCAAAGAGCTCTGTGGTGTGCCTGGCACACAGTAGGTCTTCAACTGATGCTGGTTCCTTCTCTCTCCACCACCCTCCCGGGACTTCCTCCTGAAACAGCCTCCCTCAGAACCTCGAGTCTGGCTCCCAACAGGCTCTTGGCTGCAGGGAGAGCGAGGCCTGGCGGCCCCAGCCAGCAGTCTCTGTTCGGAGGGAACTGTGAGCTCCGTGACCACAGGCCCGGGGCACAGACCCCTACTCAGGCAGGAAGGGCAGATGAACCCCATGGGGTGCAGAGAAGCAAGTACCTTTGTTGAGCTCCAAAGGCTGTGGGTCCTGCACAAGCCGGTAGTGGTGTGGGTCCCAGGTCACCCTGCAGGTGTAGAGCTTGGGGATCTGGATGTGCTGTTTGCCCCGGACATCAAAACACTCACAGGCTGCCTGGAAGATGAAGCAGGCTGGTTAAGGGTCATCGTTGTCATCGCTGTCATTGTCACTACTACTGCTATCATTTTTTAGCTCAAACACTGAGCTAAGTGCTTTATGTACTTTCTAAGCACACTTGTCTGGCGGGCTGTCAATGAGGTGTTCAGGCTTGGCACTGAGAAGCTATTGCTATGATTACGAATATTAATATTGATGCCACTTTATCCTTATGCCCATGCTGTGAGGGAGGTCTGATTGCTCTCATTTTCCTCATGTGGGGTCACATGGAAGAGGCTCGGACTTTGAACCCATATCTTCCTGGCTCTGGCTGATGCTCCTAAGCCACTGCAGTGACACTCAGCTTAAGTCATGAGTCCTCTCGATCAGTGGGCTCATGTCATAGGCAATGAAGACCCACAGAGACACTGAGGTGCATCCAAAGAACTCAACCCTGTGGTCTCTGTCCCCAAGTCTTCTGTGCTGGGAGATCAGAATAAGCCCAGGTTGTTAAGAGGTGACCCAGACAGTCAGGGGATGGAAGATCTAAAGCCAGCAGCTCCCCAAGGGCAGAGAGGTGTCTTAGCCACTCGTGCCATGAAGGGGTGTGCTCATGGAGTGGAGTTCTGGGGGTTCAGCAAGAGCAGCAGAAAGCTGAACCTTCAGGTCCATGGCCCTGGCCCATACCTGGCAGGGCACCTGCAGGGCCAGGCAAAGGTCAGGTCTCCCAGGACACCCCACACAGATATGCTGGGCACAAATGCACCATGTCATGTCTGCACCCTGGGGGCGGCCCTGGATGGAAACTGACCTTGAAGGTTTGCACAGCCCAGCTGCGGAAGCTCTCCTCCTGCCCACTGAGCTCGTCACCTTCCCCTGTCGGAGCAAGCTGAAAGGCCCCCAGGTGGGACAGCTTCTCGTCGATGTCGTGAGCAAAAGCACAAAACTGGGGGTACATGCTGGAGCCCAGACCGAACACGGCGTACCTGCAGGGGAGGATACATACGTGGAGCCTGGTGTCCCCAGGAAGCAACCCCTAGAACCCATCACCAGCAGCCTAGAAGGCCAACCCCAGACTCTGCCGTTCCAGTGGGGGCCAGCCCCCTCAGGTCCTCCCAGCCCCCAACCCTTATCACCAGCTCCCAGGACCCATCCCAGGCTTGGTCTGCAGGCCCTGAAGAGGGACTGTTTTTGTGGTTTGACCCTCATACACTGGGAGTACACACCTCAGACCTACGCTCTCCCTGTGCCTCAACAGCCCTGCAAAGACCCCCTGCACACAGCTGCTGGGCCCGCAGGGCAGGGCACCGAAGAGTGGAAGTGGGGGAAGCCTTACCTGAATTTGTTGGTGAGCTCCTTCAGCATGAAGAGGGATTTCTTCAGTTTCTGGAAAGAGAGGGAACCCCAGAGTTCTCAGGCCAGGATTAACAAAAGCACTGCTTGTCATTTCCTCTGGTGGACCCTTTTAAAAACTGGCCAGCTCTGGCAGGAGAAGCTGCAGATCCACAGCAGAAGTCGGTTTATGTGCAGGGCACCTGGCGGGGCTCAGGTTGTCGGGGTGACTTCAGCTTCTCAGCCCAGCTGCACCTCAGCCCGCCCTCAGTGAGGGCCCCAGAACAGCCCAGTCCTGCTCCCCCTGGAGGCTGGGCACCTCCAGAGGCTCTCCTAGGGGGATGCAAGCCCCTTTTCTTGTTTGGAACCTGGCAAGAGCAACGGCAATTGGTTCCATACTCTAAAATAACCCTGACTGTCCAGAAACCCGGGATTGTCTTAGGCGATGTGACCTAGCAAAACTAGTGCCCGATCACACTGTGGGAAACCACTCCCTTTTATGAAACTCATAGTTCAGCTATTGCCTGTTCACTTACTTTTTCATCCTGCTGAGGACTAGAGAGTGTCAAACTGGGGACAACAGTTTGACATGGCCTTTCTAGCACTTCCGATGACACGTTTTATTTTGTTTTTTACTATAGGGCATGCACGTTCACTGGAGAGACAGAGATAGAAAGCAAGAGATCACCTCTCCCCACTCCCCAGGAGATGACCACGCCACAGTCCCTTCCCCTCTACTCTCCTCCTGAGATGCTGGGCCCACACATACATGCGGGTGAGTTTCAGGTCGCTGGGTCTGGGATTCACACCATGGTCAGCCATGTGGGAGATCAGTGCCTTAACCACTACACCACCTGCTGGCCCCACCCAGGACTCTTTAATACACAGAGATTAAGCAGGCTTGCTCTGGCAAGAGCATCTAACTAAAATTCAGTAACTTCCTTTTGTTTTCATTGAATGTCCTGTTTGCTAGTTTTCCATTGGTGAGAGTGATACACATGTCCTCTAAATATGAATTCCTGAATGAGAACAGGGTAGGCGGATTCACAGAAGCATATTAATATAAAGTACGTCACAGGAATTACAAAGGAGACAGGTAAATGGCCAAGGGCGACCACAGTGCCTGAGCACTCACTCCCAAATATCCTCCCAGGGACATGCTGACCCCCTGCCCCAGGCCCTTATCTGATACTCCTGGGCCCACCCCTCCATCCCCAGACCACGGGGACCTTGCCACCGACCTCTCCGTTGCCAGGGGAGTCTCCATTCCCAAATGTGCTGGTCACCACCAGGAGCAGCTGCTCCTCCTCCAGGCGGCTCAGGCTGTACGTGTCCATGCAGAGGACCTGGGCGGCACAGGGCAGGCATCAGCCCTTGGCTCCCGGCTGGGCCTCGACGCTCTCCGCAGACATGATGGGCTTCCCCGTCCCGGGCTGGAAGTCCCTTAGTCATCGTCCCCCACCCTTTGCCCAGCATAGACATGGCACGGAGGTGCCAGATGAACCAACTGGATGTCCTCAGTGCCCCTTGTGGGCAGTCCCTGAACACGTCACCTCCACGATACTACCTATCCTGAATCGAAACCATTTCCCCACTTCCACTATTTCTCACTAGTTTTTACAGAGAGAAATTTTTGGTATAGGGTACATGCACTCACCGGAGAGACCCAGAGACAGACAGAAAGCAAGAAATCACCCCCCGGGAGGATGGCCAAACCACAATCCCTTCTCCTCCATTCTCCTCTCAGGATCTTGGGCATGCACGCATACACGCCCGGCGTGAGTTTTAAGCCACCAGGTCTGGGACTCAAACCACGGTCAACATGTGGGAGTCCTGTGACATAGCCATTTTACCACCTGCTGGTCCTTTATTTTCTCACATTTATTTATAAAGAAATAGAGACAGAGAGCTGGAGAGACAGGATCCCCCAACAGGGTCCCCATGCTGCAGTCCACCCCCAGCTTCAGTCACCCGGACCATGGGCACGCACGGGCTCTGGGCTCTCAGGGAGTTCTCTGCATCTGAGCCTGGAACCTCCCCACAGGGTCAGCCCCTGTGGCATTTTATATTCTGTGAGGACAGACGCCATTTTCGCGGAATGAGCAGGCAGCACTCAGCCTGGAGGCAGTGTCAGGAGAAAGGTGTCATTGCCTCGCTGTCCGACCTAGGCTACCTGACTAGGGCAGGTGCCAGGCCGTCAGGTAAGTGAGGCCTTGTCGGCCGCCCAGGTTAACCTGGTCATTAGTCATTCTCACTGTGGCCTCTGCCTCTACACGGGACCCGTCACGGCTGCCCCGTCCCGGACTACACCGGCCTGTGCCATGCCCCCAGGGCCCCAGGGTCACACCAGTTTCCTAGAAGCTATGGGACCCTGGAAAACCACTTCCCCTGATGCTCGGGTTCTTCCTCTGAGTAGTAACAGCTCACCCCTGAGATCAAACCCTTTGTGGCAGCGCTCTTGGAAGAGGGCGGGGTGTACACTGCTGAGCTCCCCCAGGGTGAGGCCTGGCTCGGTGTCACTCAGCCCAGTACTGCCCTGCTGTGGCAATCATTCCATCAGTGCTGGATTTTATGTATCGCTGAAGGCAAGGAGTGGGGCCTAGTCACCCTTAGAAGCCTTGACAAATTTACCCTTTGTCCCCTTCACATTTAGCTCTGCACCGCACAAAGGGAGGGTTCCGTAAACACGAATAAAATTCATCTAGAGCAGCCCATCCATATGGAAGCTTGGATGCATCACCAAAGTGTTTCTCAAACTGTATTCCCCGGAACCCCATGAAAGGCGTATTTACTGTATACGTTTGGGAATCCCTCGGCATACATTCATCTTTTTATTGGAGATGTACAACACGCATTGGCACCACCGAGGCTCTGAGTGATCCAGGCACGGAAAAGCCATTTGAACTTTCCCTAGACTTCTCTGCACACAGGCGGAGAAATGGCAGTCACCCTGCTGGGGTGGTACCTTGGAGTTGAAGGCGCAGTTGAACAAGGTGCCCAGGTCCTGTGCCAGCGCTTCCGACCTCCCCGTCTCCGTTGCAAAGAGGATTGTGACCCTGACTCGGGATGCCATCATCTTGCGCGATAGCACAGACGCGAACAGCACGGCTCTGAGGGGACAGATGGACGGACAGTGTATGCTGAGTCAGTTTCTGGGAGAAAGCGAGGCCTGGGAGAACGCGAGGGCGACAGCGCATAGAGTGGGGCAGGCTGGGGGAAAAGCATCCTCCGTTTCTCACCAGCTGCTGGCCCTGATTAATCCCCTTCCCCTCCCCTCAACACCACTCAGCCCCTTCGGGAAAAGGAGGAGAGGGGAGGTGGTGACCACCGTAGCAGGCGGTCCTGGGGATGGGCGTCTGAACCTTTGGGAGCCAAACCCCAAGATGAATATCCTCTCTTCTTGCTCCTTGCCCTCCGAAGCCTGGAGGTGAGGCTGTCTGGACCCCGATACCGTGCAAGCACTACACCGACAGCCGCTCCCACTTACTTAGCCAAGACTTTGAATGGGATCTCTCTTTTCCTGGGTCTCCGCTTCTCATCCTGCCAGACGTGAGTTTTCCAGGGCTCCACCTTCAGGAAGGAAGAGAAGTGTAAGGGCAGGTGCCATGGTGTGGATGTCCCCTGAAACTCACACGTTGAGCCTTGGTAATGGGACAGAGAGGGCGGGGACCTCATCTGAGTACGGTGCTGAAAGGTTGGGCCTTTGGGAAGGGATCGGGTGTGGGGTCATCAGGGTGGGGCCCCCTTGGCTGAGTTCTGGTGGGTTTACATGGAGAGGAAATGAGATAGACAGACATGTGGACACAGATCCTGCTTTCATGCCTGCCACCATGTTGGGATACAGCCAGGAGAACCCCCCAGAGATGGCCCCTGCATCTTGACCCTCCAAATCTCGAGTTGAATAAGTCTCTATTTTTCTAAGTCACCCGGCTTCCACTGTTTCCCATCATTGGCAATGGAATGAACCAGGAGAGCAGAGTAGGCTTCCCCTTCATACACCATTCCTGAGCTGGGGAGGGCAAGCAGGCCCACTCTCCACCCCGCCTCGCTGAAACTCCGCCGGGGAGGGCTGCGTCTGTTTGCCCCCTCCCAGAGACACATCTCCGACGCCCAGCACGGAGCCCACACGGTCGCCAGGGTACGCAGGTGATTCTTAACTCATTAGCATCCTCCTAGGAGGAAAAGCCCATGCTTCTGTGGCTCACAGGGTCTTAACCCTGGGCAGATGACGTAACGTGCAGTCCGCACCAGGACGCCATCACAAGAGGACGAGGAGCTACTAGAGCCAGCACCCACGACCCGGGAGAACCGGGCTACGCGGTCAGCCACTCCCACCTTCACGGCGAGGATGCTCTGCCCCACATCTGTCCTTTGTCACACAAAATGAACTCGTGTCAATAGCTCACGGGGACCAGTGCATTCTGGGTTGGGTGTGGCTAATTGTTATCCCCTGGCTCCTGTGACCTGTACCATGTCCCATCCCTTCCAGAGCTGAGGAAATCAGGGCTCAGAAAGGTGAGGTGCCCCTCCAGGATCACTCGGCTGGGAATGGCAGAAGCCAAGCTCCTCACCGTTATCCTGGCGGACTGTGCCCACCTCTCCCATGGGAGCAGGTACAAAGGTGGCCACCCTCCCCAGGCAGAGCCACTGAAGAACAGTGAAGGCGTCTCCTTCAGTCCCCTTCCCTGTGGACATGGGCAAAAGCTGCACAGCATCCTTGAATGGGGCCTGAGATGATTAAAAACACACCCCAATGTCCCCAATTCTGCCCCTGCATTCCATGTATGACTGAGTCTGCACACATGTACACATGCACACACGCACACAGCCTCTGCACCTGAGCTCCCGGGGGAGAGGGAGGAGAGCCCCTTACCTGGTAGTAGTAGAACGGGGACAGGATGTAGTTTAACATCTCCTGGTGGAACACGGGCGTGACACTCCCAGAAATCGGAGGGACCAGCCAAACCCAGTCGGCCGGGCAGCCCCCGCGGGTCCGGTATTCGTTCTGCATGTACTTCATGAAGGACTCCGCAGCCGAGTGGTGGTCCATGATGGTCACATTTTGCTTCTAAATCAGAAGGCCGCAAGAAGGGGAGTCGAGATGAGAGCCAGATTCGTCAGGAGAGCTTCCAGGTGGCTGCAGGGCTCCCGTTCGGACTGCTGGGAGGCCTGGCAATCTATAAAGCGGGACTGCAACTCCTCCTGGCCCCTCGCCTGCTCAAGTGTCACCCAAACGGGAGACATTTCCTGATCCTCTAAAGGATCCCAAGAAATCCTCATGGCCGTGGTCAGCCGCAAGCAATGGGGAACTCTCAGGGGCAGCAGCCAGCCCCTCATGCTAAGTCTCTCCCAACTCCCAGCCAATGGCGGTCTCTGAACATGGGGAACTCGAACCACAGCGCCTTTTTGCACGTAAAGAGAATACCATCCCAGCCACTTGTTGGTGGAGAGTTCCAAGAGTCACTTTCCCAGGGCTGTAAGCTTCTCAGTCAAGGGGAACTAGACACCCTCACGGGGAGCTCTGACACTGGGAGCTGCAGGGTCTAAGCCAACCAGGAATGAGGAGCAAGGGCGGCCACAACCATCAAGGTCTGGGCGACCCATTCTGTCAAGAGACATTTACTTAACATCATGGTTCAAACTCTGGCTTCTCAGCCAAGCGACCGCGAGCGGTCAGTCCCTTAACCCACCTCGGTTTCCTTGTCTGTGAAAAGGGGGATGATGACAGTTCCTATATCGCGATTGTGGAAAGGACATGACACGTTGATGTAAGCAAAGCAGAGTGAGCGCCCGCTACGTGTTTGCCGTTATCACGAATTCCATCTACGTGCTGACATTACCAGGGCACAGAGGCGGCCCCTTCTCTGCAGCAGAGCACAGTCTCACTAGGGGAAGCCGGAAGAAGCCAGGCATTTTCATATGGCCTGGTGGGAGCTAAGATGGATTCAAGCAAGCGATATTGGAGGCAAGCAGGGGAGAGGGTGTCATGTCAGACAGAGGCCCAGGAGAGACAGGGCGGATGTCAGAGACAGCTCCTGAGAAGAGTCTGGAGAGAGATGGGCACAGGTTAGGCAGGAGAAGGGCCTTCTGAGAGGAAGACACAGCATGGTCAAGGCTGAGAGGGACACATGGAGCCAGCCAGTGTAGGCCTGGTACACCAGCCACGCCTTATAAACTCTCACACTGACCGACAGAGCCACTCCAGGGTAGCCCAGCTTTGAGCTCAGGAGCTAATGACGACGCTAGGATGATGATGGTGATGGTGATAACAATAATAAACAATAACACCGAATCCAGGGCTAACCGCGTGCTCCTACGGGTCAGGTGGTGCAGCTAAAGATTGTGCGTGAATGTTTATTTAACCTTCACAACCACCTAGTGTGAGAAGTACTATTATTCCCCCCACTTTACAGGTAAGGAAACAAGGCCAGGTCTTTTAAGTGTACCTGGAAGGAGAGTGCTGAGAAGTCCCAGAGATTCTCAAGCAGTGGGGAGACACGGCCAGCAACAGTCAGGGTTTTCTGGGACATAACCACATCCTGCCAGTGTCCGGGCTGGCGCTGGGACTCCCTGAGAGTCGGATGTGCGGTCTAGTCAGGCCCTCCCAAGCCAGGCCAGCCTGAGGACAGGCTTTTCTTGTTCCATTTTAGCTCAGTCTCAGAATCGCCTCCCCCACTATGCACAGACAGGATCTGCCCATGGGGCGGCCCGGCCATGGGGAATAATGTGTGCACCCCCAGCCCCCCCACACACACACACACTCACAGTGTTCATTGCTCAGTCTCGTGGCCAGCACATAGCACCTGCTCAAGAAAACTTTGAAACACTCCCTGCCCAATGGTCTCGTCTCCAGGGCATCTGCCAGCTTGGTGGAGATGGCCCCAGGTTCTACGGCAATATCATCACGCGAGTAAGAGCAGCAGAGGGACCAGAGGGCTCCGTCTCCACAGGAGCCAACCACGGGTCCCAGAAGAGAACACTGTCACTCAGCATTCAAAGGCCAGAGCGGCCACTGCTCACGTGGACGTGAGCTCTCGTTCGTCCATTCACCCCCATGGTTTTTTTTAGCATCTACCACGCGCCAGACACCCTTCTAGACTGGAGGTACAGCAGCGAACAAGAGACGAGGTCCTGCCCCGTAGAGCTGACAGTCTAGTGGGGGAAATAAACAAGAACGAACGAAGTAGATGCGCTACGCCAGGAACTGTGTGATGAAGTATTTGGAAGAAAAATCAAGCAGCATGGAAGGAGTAGTAGTGAGAAAGGATGGCGGTGGAGTGAGGGCGTCGTTCTACTTGGCACGTCCCGGGAGGTGGGGGAAAGGAGCCAGCCACGGGGCGATCTGTGACTGAGGGCCAAGGAAGCCCAAAGGCCCTGAGGTGGGAATCCCTTTGGTGAGTTGTTTGTTTGTTTGTTTGCTTGCTTTTGGGGGGGACTTTAAAAAAAACTCACCAAAAGGTTTCTCACATGAGAGGAGAAGCAGTGGAGGACAAAAGCTGGACTCTAGTGAGATGAAAAGTAGGACAAGGCTGAGGCTGGACAGGGCGTGCGCTCAGAAGGAGCTGTTCGGTGACAGTTCATTTTTTCTTAGAGTGGGAGCTGGTAGAGCCTGTTTGCCTGAGTCGGCCAAGATCCAGCAGAGAGGGGGACATTGATGGTACAGAGAGGCAGGACAGACATGTTCAGGAATAATGTCTGTGGGCAGCTGAGAGGGGACAGGGCAGGGGCAGCCAGTGCTGGGAAGTGAGGAGGTGCCTGTCGTCAGACCGCTCAAGCGAGCCGGGGGCTTCTTCATCTCTGTATCCCAGCACCGAGCCCAAGCCTGGCCCAAACTGGGTGTTCGATATTTGTTGAATGCACACAGGTGGGAAGGAATGAAGGATGCTGTAAGGGGATTTTCGTGCAGCGGATGATGGTTCATTTTCATGAACCCAACGGCCTAACCAAAAAGTCTTCAAACTCTCAAAACGCCAGACGTACCTGGAAACTATGGAGCACAGCGATGTTGATCTCAATGACAGCCTGGTCCTTCCAGAGTGAGGCCAGCTTGTGTGTCTCCAGGCCCATCCTTCTTCCCACTTCCTGCAGAGCAGCGTCATGGGAGGGAGGGTCCTGGAGCCCACCCGCAGGCCCACGCTAGCCGCCGGCCCAGGTGGTAGCCCTCCTTACCTCCAGGATATTGTAGCGTTGGACATCACAGAAGTCCCGGACTCCGATCTCTGTGCCCATGTACCAGCCATTGAAGGGGCACCCTGGGAACTCGAGGCCTCCCACCTCGAGCAGCATGTTGGACACTGCAGGCAGGGCGTACCACCTCAGCTCCAGCTCTCGGAACCACTCGTACCTGGCAGGGGGGCAGAGTCAGATGCAACTGGGAACTTGCTTCTGGCTGCCTGCCCCCTCTCCACCCCAAAAGAAACCTCAGTAAAAGAGTCAGACAAGAAAACTCCTCTCCAAAAGTTGATCTCAAAGTTCATCCCACCAGGAGAGGTGAACTGGACACGTTAGGGGCCGTTCATTAAATCGGACATTCATGCACTATTAGCAAGTACGTGTCAGACCTGTCCCACCTGCTGAGAGTCCAACTCAGCACAGTACTTAAGGCCTCTAGTGGCAGGAAGCTGGGGATCAAGTTCTGCCTCTCAACTGACCAGCGCTGACACCCTGGGGTGTTTTTTAGCCCCTCTGAGCCTTGGCATCGCTATGATTAAAGCAGAGATGCTGTGTGGTGCAGTTAGTAGCAAACTGGACTGCAGTGTTGGAAGCCATGTGCCAACCATGGTTCATTTACCTAGGTCGGCTAAAAACTCATCAGGCCTAAGCACAAGTTCCCAGGACCTGGGCAAGCTGGAGGGCTGGGGAGAGGGGATCACAGCATGATGAGATCATGGGGAGGGCACTTCTGCCTCTCTCTCCCCCCTTACATGCATGCATGTGCACTCAATCATGAGCAAAATACAGGAAACTTTCAAAAATCAAGATAATAGCATCAAATTCGTGGGATTATTATGAAATAACAGTACCATGTGCTTGTCAGGAGAGGGACAGCTAAGAAAGTGGGTAGGACAACAGAGCCTGGGCTGCTCAGTGGCAGAGTTTCAAAGTCACTGTCACCCCAGTGCCCCGGGCCTGTCCACCCGGGCCGCTGCTTCCCCTCCGTCACACTATCCTCACAGGTATGAGGCCTGCGATGGCGGTGCAAACACAGAGCTGCCGGAGAATACAAGGGTGACAAAGCAGGCCTTGAAGGCTGGCCCTCTGGATGTCACCTGCTTCTGATTGGGCATTGCAGGATGTGAAGGGAGTGGGCCGAGGGCTGGAGTCTCCCTCAGGAAAGGAGAAGGCATGCGTGGTGACTGCACCCCCGGCACCCTCAGCCCACTTACTTGGGGTGTTCCATGGGCACCTCAAGCACGAGATCAGGTGGGATTTCGAAGAACTCGGGGTCACGGCCGTCAGCCTGCAGGACCAGAGGCAGCACGTCGAAGCGGCTGTACTTGGGCTTCCAGCCCAGGTCGATGCACAGCTGGGGACGGGACAGGCACAGTGAGTCTGCAGGCCTGGCCCTCGGCTCCTCTGGCTCCACACCCCCCAACAGGCTCCTGCCGAGGGGCTAGGGCCCGAGCTGGGCCAGGTACCTGGGTGAACTCCAGGGAGGCAGGGTCCCCTAGGATGGTGCCATCGGGCATCTGGTAGCCAGCGTAGCGGATGAGCTGAGCGTTCCAGACCCGGAAGTCGTGCTTCCCATCACTCCGCTGGGGGAACACGGTGATGGTCGACCTTCCCAGGGACAAAGACAGTGCTGCTCAACACCTGGGTCCGGTGGGGGACCCCGGCCATCCCCACTGGCCCAGTTTCTCCATTCTTCCTGCTCCACAGCCCCCTGCATGTGAGCTGATGGAGCCAACTGCCTGACCTACCCTCTCCTCCTCCCTCTAGCTCACCCTTTTTCAAGACCCTGTGCCTCAGGGGCCAAGCAGCCCTCCAAGGCCCTTGCTCCTCCTTGCAGCCAAGATAGCTGGATGCACGTCAGAGACTCGTGGTGGGCCAGGGCAGCACCCTAGCACCTCCTTTACCTCTGCCCCGTCCCGTTACCCCTCCACCCCACAGCACCATCCCACACCCCAGCCTCGTTCTGTGCTGGGCCCCCATTCAGTGGGCAGTGAATATTTGTTGAATGAGAAAAGGGATGAGACGTTCGGTCCTATCAGCCTTGACCTCTTCGACTGGGGAGAAATTCAGGGGTGGGCCGGGGACACACAGCGGTGAGCTGTGACTCCCCCACCCAGGAGAACACCACACCAGAGCCATCTGCTGGGGAACAGTGGGTCCTCTGCAAAGGGGCACCTAGCCCTGCACAGTGACATTACTGCTTACAGATCCCTCATCTCCTCCAAGTGGCCCTAGTCAGGAAGAGACCAAGGACACTAAGCTCGTGGGGGCGGGCTCACTCTCAGAGACCCCGATGTAGCCGGAGTCCCCATTGCTTTCTCTCTGGTTCCTGCTGGAGTTGAGGTGGCTCCCCTCAGCCCCTCTGCACCTTTTGGCTAAGACTGGGCAGGGTGGGCCTGGCTGCAGCCCCGGCAGTGGCACCCCACCTGATGTTGCCGTCATTGGTGGCGTAGCGCAGGTGTCTGCAGATGTGCTCGAACATCTCTTGGGCGGTGGAGCAGCTCCTTGCATCAAAGACCTGCACGAACCCCAGACAGGCCATCAGGACTGGTGGACAGAGGCTCCAAGGCCAGTCGGAAGTCACTGAGAACCGAGGGAGTGACAACGCCAGCACCCGAACACCAGGCTGAGATGCGCTCTCCTCTCTGCACCCGCAGCTCCCATCTCTCCCGCTGCCTGGCCATCCTCTCTCCTGCTCTCCTGGGAAAGCACAGGCAGCCCCACTTGGGAGACTCCAGCACACCCCAAATCCCAAGAATGCCTAATGGAAAGCTCACGAAGCTGGATTCCCACAGCCTCGGTGGAGCACTGTTGCAACAAGGGCCCTTCTGACACTGCCAGATCAGGCTTCACTGGCATTTCTAGGCGATTTCTCTGCCCAAGTGCCTTTTTTTTTTTTTTTTTTGAGAGATTTTTTTGCTATAGGGCACAGCTCCTGGCCGTACGCTCGCCAGAAAGACAGAGAGAGACAGAGAGACAGAAAGCGAGAAATCATCCCCAGGGGGGATGGCCACACTGCAATCCCTTCTCCTCCATCGTCCTCTTGGGATTTTGGGCACACACGCACATGCACCTGGCATGAGTTTAAGTCACCGAGTCCGGGACTCAAACTGCGGTCGACTACATGGGAGTCCAGCAGCATAGCCATTATGCCAACTGCTGATCTCCCAAGTGTCTTTGATATTATGCAAAAATAAATAATCCCCCAATGAACAAAAGGCCTAGGAAGCTGGGATAAATAAAATGTTCTCTCAGAGCCAAGAAGTCAAACACTGTAGGTAAACAGCCTCTCTTGAGGCACCAGGACCTCAGTAATCATAAAAACAAGGTTGCTATTTGTTTTATGGGGGCATTTGCATCTCCCAGATTTAATACAAGAGGGGCCAGCTAGAAATCTGGTGCTGCGGTGAGATTCCGGGCTTCCAAGAGGGACCCTCTGGGCCTGCATCTCAGGTTAATTGTGAAGAGAGAAGCCAAGGCTTTGGCTTCCATCTGGGGAACCCGGGATCAGCTGTCCTGGGGCCATCCAGGCAGGCCTGCCCGCCCCAGTGCCCTCACCCACTCGGGCAGAGGGCAGCTCACCTGCAGGTTGGACCACTGGACCCTCCCGATGCAGCGGGGGGCATTGCGCCAGGCCTGCTTGGTGGCAAAGATGAGCTCATCGCCAGTCAGCTGGTAGGTTCCTGTTGTTTCTATCTCCTTTGTGACCGCTTCCACCCGGGCCAGATGTTCCTCTATTTTTGCCCTGGGAGACAGGAAGACATCAGGAAGATGAACAATGAGATGGCCTTAAATGGAGATTAATTCAAGCCACAGAAGCAGGAACCGAAACAGGGCACCCTGAGGGCAAGATGTCTCATCAGAGACTGTCCCCTCCAGAGCTGGCTTCATGGTGGGTGCTCAGCTTAGTAGGAGGGTCCCTTGCTTAAGGTACTGCTGTGACCGTCCTGAAATTCTTAACCATTGCTGCACAAAGACCCCACATTTTCATTTTCATACTGGGTCCTACTCATCACGTGGCCGGTCCTGGGCCTGTAGAGACCCTGGTTATTTCTAGGCACTGTTTTTAAAATCATATTCATCTCAGCAAGGGGCGCAATGTTCTCGGACACTTGCAAGGCTCAGAGGAATGTCCTCTCAAGACACAGCGGCATCTTGACCCTCCTTATCAGGGGATCACCCGTCCACCTTGTCATGGTTAGAAGATGAGCCAGCCCCTCTGAAGCAGCTCTGCACTCACTGTGAGCCCGGGACTAGGTGAAACAACACAGATAGGGCCTCACTGAGCCTGTGAGAGGGTATTTTTGTGTCTGTTTTATAGTCACGGGTCTCCAGGGGATTAAGCACCAAGGCCAGGAACATAAACCTGGTAAAGAACAAAAGCAGGACTCCTGCTCAGGTCACCCTGAGGTCAAGCCCAGGATCATAACCACATGCAGTGTGACCTTCCACCTTCTACCCTAGCAGGGGCTGCAAGCCCAGTGCCAGCCCACCCTTCCTTGGGAGCCTCAATGAGCCAGGAATGAGCCCCGGCTGTCAGAACTCTGCCTGCAGGGCCTCGGGGACATCTGGGCATTGCTGCCCACGGCATGGGCCGGTGCCACAGGCTCGCTGAGTCATGGTGTTTCTCGGCGTCAGAACGGTTCATCCAGCAACTCCATGTGCAATTTCCATTTTTATACACAAGGAGATTTCAAAGAGTTCATGGAAAATATTATTATGAAAAAAAATGCATGGACTTCTAAACTCTTTTGCTCCACAAATAAACTCTTCCTTTACTTCTATCTTTCCATGAACTTTTGGAAGTCCTCTTCAGTGTATAGATACACCTACAGATATAGAAATAGATACGTGAATCACAGATATACTTTCTTTTTTCTTTTTTTCTTTTTTTTGGACAAGGTCTCGCCATATCATGGTCCTCTTGCCTCAGCCTCCCACCTGGAACTATAGGTGTGCACCACCATGCCTGTCTTTTTATTTTTTTTTTCCTTTGAGAGATTTTTGCTATAGGGCATGTGCATTCACCAGAGAGACTGAGAGAGAAAGAAAGCGAGAAATCACCTCCCCAACACACACCCCGGGAGAAGGATTATGGCCACAATTGCAATCCCTTCTCCTCTATTCTCCTCTTGAGATTTTGGGTACACACATACACGAGCCCAGCATGAGTTTCAAGTCACCAGATCTGGAACTCAAACCATGGTCAGCCACATGGGAGTCTAGTACCACAACCACTATGCCGCCTGCTGGCTCAAGTCTTTTTTTAGATAGAGCCTCACTAGGTTGTCCAGGCCAGCCTTGAGCTCACGACCCTTCTGTTTACGTCCCAAATCACTGGGATTACAGGTTTGCAGCCCTGTGCCCAACCTTCAGGTCGAACCAGAATCAAACCTGGACTTCCCACGTGGTCCCAGCCTGCAAAGCACCTTCTTAGCTACACTGCCTCCATGGCTGGGCGCATATGTGATTTCTAAACTTGTTTTCTCCCTCTCCACTCAGACTTACAAAAGTATCCTGAAAGGAGGAATTCAATCAAAAAGGCTTTGAAACCCACACATGCATGCACACACACACACACACACACACACACACACACATACACACACACAAACATGCACACACACGCACACACACACAGAGGAGCCTTGAAGTTTCCAATCAGCACCAAAAGCTTTTGAAGGAGCAGCAAACAAAACTATTTAAGGAATGAGCTGCTGATTAAGGAGAGTGGACAACTCGGAACAAAACAGCCTTTCTGTGGGTTTAGAGTCTGGATGACTCTTCCTTGATTAAAGAAAAAAGGCACAAAGACAAAACATTTGGTGATAGGTACCCTCAAGGACACCCTGCCATACAGAACCACCGGCCGAGGTTGGTGCCATGCCACCGGCTGAGGCCCTCCCTCCCCAAAGCTCCCACTGCACTCTGCGTTCTGCACCCACACGTGCAAACGCCTCCAACACTTGGTAGCGTGAACGTGTGAACACGTAAGAAAGGGTTATTTTCATGTCTGTAACCAATTCCTTTGGAGGAATGTACTTTACCACTGTTTTCATAGCCACGTCTCTGGGTCACTACAATGCTACGGTGCCTGTTAGGTTGAAAGAAGAACATGGCTTTCAGCAGCAGCAAGAGACTAGAATGTAACGAGTCATGGTCTCGGAATAGACTAGTCATGGTTAGAGGATGAGCCAACCCCTCTGAAAAGGCACGGTCAGGGACTCTAAGTCCTCAGCCCGCCCGCCCAGCAGGCCCAGGCTTCGGCTCCCCCAGGACCTCTCAGAGGATCCCTCACTCTGAGAAATGGAGACGCCCTCCGAGAAGCAGTTGGTCTGAACATCCCCAACCAAGCACAGCCCTGCGGCCTCCCTGGGCTTCCTCACGCCCACCCAATGGCCTTCCCAACAGCAGCAAGGCCTCCTGGTCCAGAACAGTCAAGAACCTGCAGGGCCGAAGAGCAAGGGCCTGAGCCAGCCCATAGCTCAGCAGTTAAGCCCTGTGCTTAGGAAGTTGGATACCACATGCTTGACCGTGGTTTGAATCCCAGCCCCAGCAGCTTGAGAAACATTCCAGGCACGTGTGCACGTGTGGGCAAAATCCTGATTGGATAGAGAAGCAGAGCAGAAGAAATTGCTGCATGACCAAACCCAATTGGGGCATGCTTTCTCCTTTTCTCTCTCTCTGTCTCTCTGTCTCTGGAGAGCACACACACCCTCTGGCAAAAAAAAAAAAAAAAAAAGTCACCACACCAAATATGTAGTAACAGCTAATACTTAAGTCCTTCTCACTATGGGCCAGGTGTCATTCTTAGGACTTTCTACATTTAAACTCATTTAATCTTCAAATACTCCTACAAAATAGATACTATTATGATCACTATTTTCAGACAAGAAAATTAAGGCACAGAGAGATGGGACCACTGCCCAGAGCCACTCAGTTTATAAGGGGCACAGCTAGGATTTGACCCTGGGTGGGCTGCCTCTAGAACCCCCGCTTTCAACTCTAACGCTATACAATCTCTCTTAGAGTGTTTAATATTGTAAGTGCCGGCAATACAGTAGACAATTTAGAATCTTTGTATTCCAGCACCTGACACCAGGCTGATTGTTATGTGTCAGCCGAATGATTGATTGACTATAGAAATGAAGGGTGCCCAGCACTGCTCACAGACCTGGGGAATGTGGCACCCCACCCAGTTCAGGACAAAGAGCAGCTGCCTGCCCTCTCCAAGTCAGGTGTCTCAGGGTTCAGGACAAAGAGCAGCTGCCCGCCCTCTCCAAGTCAGGTGTCCCAGGTCCTAGCTGGGATTCAGTGACCGCAGGTACATCCCTGGGCTTCTGTGTCCACACTAGGGACTTGACCAGGTGGTCGCTAAGGGCCTTTCTATCTCAAACATTTCATAATAAAGAGGTCTGTGTTCATTCATAATCAAGGTTGCTACGTGCAAAGACACGGTCCTGAATTTCTTTAACGTTCGCAGTCATCTTAGGAGCCAGGTCCTATCGTTACCCCCACTGACAGATGAGGGGGTTGAGAAAGTTGAGTCACAGAGAAGGTATCAGACTTCTGAAGGACTCAGCTGGGATCTAAACTCGGTTGCACCTCAACCCATACTTCTAACCACTCTCGCTACACCTGACTTCATCCCATGATTATGAGACCCCACCCTGCAGTCTTTTCCCTTGGGAAACTATGCATTGGCCTTGGAACCACTGTGTGTCTGGGAAGGAAAGGGGTCTAGTTAGAGGGTAGTTGCTGGTCACAGGAGAGGCCCGGGACTCTGCAGGCAGCAAGCCTTACTCGTTGAAGGAGCCATAATACTGGTTGACAAATTCGATAGCTTGAGGTAGGAGCTCTTCCATAGGGGTAGGCTTGTCCCTGCATCCTCTGGTCAAACTTTTGGGGTTCATGATGGCTCCTAGGCAAGATTTGGACTTGCAGGTGAAATCCTGGAAAGAGAAAGGGTGGCGGTGAGGGTGGGCTGCTTGGTTTCTGAACTGTCCTCCTCCAGGGCCAGCTTTTCCAGCCACTTCCCTCCTCTCTGGCCGTTCCAGTGCCCTGTGCCTCCTCTTCACCCTGGGACACCTCCTCCTTGGAGTCCACTGGACTTTCTCCCACCCAGATCTCCTCTCATCTATTAGCTGAACCCCAGTGAGGGTGAGCTGGAATGTTCCCCTCAACCTGGGCTCAGTTTCTGGCCCTGCTAGAGCCAGAGCCAGAGACCTAGGCCCAAGTACAGTCTTCATCTCAGTTTCTGTGAACATCACATCCACCTTCTCATCTAAAGAGGCGATTTTGGTATTCAGCCAAAACAAATGGAAAACAAATCCCAAAGTCATCGGGTGGCACAGGAAAAATCCTGGAAGGAAGTCCACCCAAACGTTAACCAACCACGGTGGCTTTGGGAATGCGGGAAATCACTTTGCTTTCATGGTCTTGAAATTTGCAGTTCTTCCCCACCTGCAACCATAGAGGACCTGCTGACGTGGGAATTAGAAAGGTCGAAGACAGGAAGATGTCGTAAAGCACACTTAGTCCCACCACTCACTGCACGCTTGAACCTCTGCCATCTCCCTCTCGAATAGTCCTTGAATCCGTCCAGCGACAGGGTACGCACTACGTCATGATGTCATTCAGTCCAGCTTCAGGCAAGTCTGTCAGACGATTCTCCCTGGTACTAATACTGATACGGTGCCCAACTCTGTCTAAGAAAGCGATGACGTTGCTCTGGTGATGGTTATCTGACCATCTGGACTATCGGTTACCCGTCAGGGGAGCTGGCACCATCCACTCCCTACTGTACTTGGTGAGGAATGTGTCTCTGCTCCCAGCGTCCTTTGCCCAAGCAGAGGATTGCCTGGTTTGGCCAGGGAGACATTCATTCCATCCACAAAGGGCCCCGAAGGCTTCTCCAGCTTGGGACACAGCTGGTTCTCCCTGAAGCCCCAGACTTCTCACCCTCTGGGCCTTGTGATGAAGTGTGTCCTGGAAAGTCATCCCGTTGCCCCAGTTTTTGATCCTCACATGCTGTGGGCAGGCCGACGGGCGCACGTTCAACCTGGTGGAGGATTCTGGAGCCTTCTAAGAGAAGGAAAAACCAACATTTTCCAAATGCCTCCAACCCCAGGTCCTCACGGGTCATCCTAGACCCCTGGACCCTGCTGTGGCTTTGGTGTAGGGAGAGTGGTGGGAGGGCACACAGGGCAGGTGTCAACCCAACCCCTCCTGTCTTCCAGCCGCCAGCCCACCTGGCCTGGTGCCTGCTAAGAGATCCAGGTGCCTGGGCCGCTGGCCCGGCTTCTCCCCTCACCCAAGGCCCTGCCAAATGCTGTCTCGGATGGACTGCAGCAGGAGGGCCCAAGGCTAGCTGTGAGGGGGATGGCCATCAGCCGTACCACTGAGAACAGAAGCTGGGCCTTCCTCCCCAGAGACATTAAATGCAAACTCCCTCTTTTCTCCAGTTGCCCGCCCACTTTCTGGGGAGGTAGGAAGCATGGGGGCAGCGGCAGGCAGAGAGACCAGGCAGATGCTGGGGGCTGGGCTGAGGCTCGGCTTCTTAGGCTGGACTGTTTCTGCAGGTCCTGCCCCAGCGCCGGGCAGGCTCCCAAGCCACCTCTTGCCTGTGCTGCCAGCCCACATGGGCAAGTCACCCAGGCCTCAGTGCACCTCAGCAGGTCACCATTCCTGACCAGTGTTGTCTTAGTTCCCCACAGCCCCCTCACAATCCCACTGTGCCCCCAAGTCTGATCCCACCCACTCGCCATCCAGCCCCCAACAGGTAGCTCCATCTGTATCTGCCCAGGCGACGGAGGAGGGGGCTTCCCGCACCCTGTGACTCACTGACCTTTCCTGTCCCTGCGAGGGGCTGGGAGGATTCATTCTGGAGCTTGCTGAGGCTGTGACTCTTGGGGTCATCCTGCGTCACTGAGCTGTGAAAGGAAACAACTATCATGCAATGGAGTATCTGAGGGCAAGGGGGGTCTTGGAGTCCTCTCTGCCTGCTCCTCACCTGACAGCCGCACGCTGAGCTCCAGTGGGTGAGGGAGCACTGCTTACGACTTCCATCCAAGAGGAGATGAGGGGTGGTCTGTCAGACCCAATGTCCCCACCATCACCACCCTCCCTCTGCCTCCTTGTCCCCCCACAAAACTGAAGGACACAGGGGGAGCTGAACCAGAGCTACTGGTCCAAACAGAAGTTCTGCGAAAGAGCCCCCTCCACCCAAAACCAAGTGCCCTCTGCTATGGCAGAGAACAAAGTCTGCCCCCTGCCCTGCCCTCAGCAGCATCTCCGCTTCTCACTCCTCTTTAGTGACTAGGAGTTCTTATTTAAAACACTAGATTTATCTTGGTTTATTTATCTTGAAACATGCCAAACACACAGAAGTGGAAAGAATAGCATAATAACCTCCAGGGCCCTTCGCCCAGATTCATCTCGATTCCACCATGAGCAATCCGGGGCCACTACTGCTTCAGCTGTGCCCTCGGCCCCACCGCTAGGGAAGCAAATCCAGCTCAGGAAATGGCTCTGGAATACTTAAACACACTTTTGAAAAGACTCTTTCTTCTTAAAGAATTATTTTATTTAATTTATTTTTAGTATTATTTTTAAACTTGGTATAGTTATCAGAGAGAGACAGAGAGAGAAGGAAAATGAGAAAGCACGTTGCCAGGTCTGGGACTTGAACCAAGGTCAGCCATGTGGGAGTCCAGCACCCTAACCACCATGCCACCTGCCAGCCCCTAAAAATAGTGGTTTTATTGATTAATTTTATTTGCCAGAGGGCACATGCATTCACCAGAGAGAGAGATAAAAAGAGAGAGAGAGACAGAGAAACAGAGGGAAAGGGAGAAAGCACCTCTCAATGGGGCATGATTACACCCCAAACCCTTCTCTATCCTGTTGGGATTTGGAGTGTGCACACACACACACACACACACACACACACACACAGTTGGCATGTCCCTTAAGCTGCTGGATCCAGAATCCAGCCCGTCTTCTGAAGAGGAAAAGACCCTAATTGAACTCATTAGGAAACCATTGGTTCTGGTTTGGGGGGTCTTAGGTTCGCTCTCCTGACGAATGCTATGGACAGCCACATATGTGTAAGCACCCTTCCAATAGGCAGCTCTCACAGGCCACCCCTGCAGAGACCACTCCATGGGTTTGACGCCATATTGTGTTCCAGTTCTTGGCCGTATTTTCTGGAATGTGCATGCTTGTGCCTGTGCATCAGAGGGAGGGAAGTTGAAAGGTATTACAAGGGTCTCTCATTTACAAGTATCTGTCATGGTGGAATAGGATGAGTGACCAAGTGTTGCTTTTAATATTATTAGATCATCAGGAAAGTCACGACATTTTTTGTTTGTTTTTCCAGGCAAAAATGCTTCATCATTTTCCCAACCACCCAGTAGAAAAAAAATTACTGTATTTATATTATCATTATATTATTTTTTGAAGAATTATTTTAAAAATTTTATTTATTATTATTATCTTTTAATTTGGCCAGAGGTGGGGGCCGGGGGGAGTGAGAAAGCAAGCTGCCAGGTCCAGGACTTGAACTGCAGTTGGCCATGTGGGAATCCAGCGCCTCAACCGTCCCGCTAACTGCTGGCCCTATCATTATGTTATTAAGAACATGCATTATGGTAACATTAGGCAATTTATAGCTATAAACAGATAGTGCCTCTTTAAGAGAATATATACCAGAAAGCAACTTAGGTCTGAATCCAGCAACTCCACGTGACTGACAATTGTCACCTGATTCTTAACCAAACTTTAAATGGGCTTCTGTGTGTTTGCTGGCTCATGGTTCCCTTCAATATCTGATCAGATTCCTCATCTTCCGTCACCCCTCAGGTGAAGTCTGATTGTCACCCTGACCTGGTCTCAGCAAGAATCCTGTTAGGTCGGTTTAGCCCGAATCTCTTTACCCTCAATGTTGCCTTTTAGGAACCTTCCATTCCACTGACCCCGGCTCCCAGCTAGAAACTCCCACTTGTCCGTGGGAATTGACTCAGAGCTGAGCCCGACCTCCCCCTCGCAGCGGCCCTGTGCCTATGTGATGGTCTTGAACGTCTTCCTCACTGTGCTTTAACAAGCATCACCGGCAAGTTTTCTCTTTAGTAGTTAAATGAGAAAATGGACTTACATTGTCCATGGGAAAAAAGGGTACCTCTTCTTTCCCTGAACAACAGGGGGGGCCAACAAAGGTTCCTTCTTTGGCCAGATGTTAGGCAGACTCTGCATCTTCCCCGGGGCCCGTTTCTGCGCATCCTTGGAAAACCCAGTTTTAGAAAAGAACCCTAAGCCCATTTAGCAAGAACCCTATCCTCCATATCTGATAGCCTTTGATATCTGATCAAATTCTTCATTTTCCACCATCCTCCAGATGACGTCTGAGCACCTGGCACATTTTCGGTAAAAATTCCATTAGGTCAGTTCAGCCAGAATCCCCTAGGCCCTGATGTTTCCTCTTGGTAAACTCCCATCTACGGACTGGGCTGTCCTCGGAGCTGGCCCAGCCGCCCTCCCCATGCAAGCCTCCATCGCGGTGGTCCCCACAGCTATGGTGACGGCCTGAATCAACTCTCCCTCATCGTGCCTTCCCAAGTATGGCCGAACCTTTTTTTTTTTTCCATATTCTTCTCAGCTGGACTGTGTGTCCCACCAGAAAAAAAAGCCCATACAGGGTCACCAGGACATCTGGAACAGGTAAGCCATAGCTGAGCAGTCATCCCGGGGCTGTTTCAACACGTGGACATCTTGGGGCTAGGGCCCCCAGGGAGGCGATGCCTGACTGCTCCTCTCACCCTCACCCCGTCCCCACCTTGCATGCTTTCTTGCTTTCTCTCACCTACTTCTGGAGACACAGCTGGACGACTGCAGGAGCTGCAGGCCAGACACGGTACCAGGCCTACAGCAATGTGAGTATTGAGAAATCGTGTCTCTGTACACTTAGCATAACCATGTACTCCAAATATTAAAGCATTGTTTCTGTTCAGCCCGCTGGAGAAGCCAGTAGCAAACAGAACTCCAGTGCTAGAAGCCTCACGGCTAACTGCAGGTTCAGATCTGCACGAACACAGGCCAGGCATACACAGCACAGAAGGTCCTGATGAACCGGAGAGCTGCAGGCATGGGATTCTGACCTCGCCCGGGGTGCTTCCTCTCCCTCCTCTCATTCACTCACTCTTTCTTTCTCTCTCTAGTCTGCATATATGTGTTCTCTATCATGACATAAATAAACTTTAAAAATAAAGTTTAAAAATGAACTTTTTTAAAAATTAGAAAACAAAACGCATCAGTTTTTAAAAAGCTGCCTAAAATTCCACTGTAGAGATGGGCGGTAATTAGCCTGATCTCAAGGCCAGTGGTTGACCTCATGGCCTATGTTTGGGTTGTGTCTAGTTTCTCCACTCGTTTAAATACTGCTTCAGACTACATATGTGGTCTCTGCCGACCGCGTGTGTGTGCAGGCGGGTGTGTACAAGCACAGAAATACACCTGGAGGAAACGCCAGGGGATGAATGTGAACAGTGACTAGCATTAAGGGATGAGATCGTGGGCCATTTTGATCTTGATACTTTGCTGTATCCTCCAACTTTTTACAGTGACCACGAATTCCTCTCCTAATTATTATTGTTTTTAACCCGAGAAACAAAGCTTTGCCCAGCACCCTTTCTCCTCAGTGGACTTCCTTGGGCTGTCCGCTGAAAGGGACAGTGACCTGATGCCACACGAGTGCATGAAAGATTCAGACACTGTTTTGGAAATGACTGCGTTGTTCGTGTAGCCCCCACAGACACTCGGGCAATTTCACTAGACCCACACCTGCGCCAGGCCCTGTTTGGCCCTGGGTGGAAACGAAGGACCCTTAAGGACCTGCCACGGAAGGCAGCAGACTGCTAGGCGAGGGGCGGCTTGCTTGGCCCCGTGCTATACACAACCTTGAGCGCCTGCGGCCAGCTGAGGTCCGAGCTGCAGTAGGGCCCTTCCGAGACTGACCTGGGGGCCGAGTCCCCTGCGGTCCCTCCCCCCTGCCCAGTCAAGGGGGTTGGGAGTGCAGACAGCACGCTGGAAGAGGGATCTTGCTGGCAAACAAGAACTTCTTTGCGCTCAGAACTGTATCTGATCTTAAGAGTGTAGCTCAGCACTGAAAAAAAACAAAAAAGCTCCCAAGTACTCAAACAGCCGCGATTGAGCCCGCATAGTCGCTTCTCATGGTGCAAGTGGAGCTTCTCGGGGGCCTTTGTGGCTCCTGAACTGCACCCTCTCTCGCGTTTTAACGGAGGAAAACGCTTTCGGGAATGCCTCTTGGAGTCCCGCAGGGCGAATACTCCAACCCTCACATTTTGTCTCCGACTGGGCCACTGCAAAACCGAACTGGGACCAGGTGCCCCCAGAGCCGCCCGCCTCCCTCCCAGGGCGGACCCCGGCGGGCGAGGCGAGGAATACCTGGCCTGGCGGGGGCAGCAGGTGGCCTGCAGCCGGAGGATCCCGCGGAGCAGCGGGCAGAGCCGGGGCGGAGTGGCCTCACACGCAGCGCCCAGTCCCTCGCGCATGACCCAGACAGGCGCAGCTCTGACGGCGTCCCGTCCTGCTCTCAGTCGCTCCCGCCTCTACATTGCTCCCGGACCCCGCAGCCCCCGCCCTGGGGCGGGGCGAGACAGGAGCAACCCGACTAGGCTACGCCCTCGGGCCAGGGCGCTTCCAGGTCGTCCCCTAGTCGGTGGCCGCTGGACACCTGTCAGGCTCCCCTCGCCCAGTGCCCTCACTTTCCTAGGGTGAGCCCAAGTCCCCCACACCCAGCAGCTCGCAGCGGCCCCCATAGCTAAGTGTAGGTGCCACTGGACTGTCTCTGGGATGGGAGCTGGGAACGTTCAGCTTCGGATTTGTTTATTCCCCAAGAAGTATCAATAATGACTAT